ATGATTTGGGGTTGTTAACCAATGTCATAAAACATCATGTGTACTACTGTTTCATGAGAAACTATTTGTTCTGTAAGCCTTCACCTGAAGTACAATAAAATATAAATAAATAAATAAAGTGTTGTGCATCTAGTTCAGGAACATTCCTTAGACTGCCAATCGGCCTCAACTTATCTGAGTTACATCATCTTTACAATGGGCATAATAATGCCCACCTTGCTGGGCTGTTGTGAGACTTAAAATTCACGCATGTGATGTGCGCCCTCAATGCCAGGCAAGAATAGGGGCCCAGCACTTGGTAACCATGAAGTGTCATCACTATTTACAGTGCAGGGGACGGAGTCATAACTGAGAGGGAGAGTGAACAGGGTTAGGATCCTGACTCTGCCCCTAACTAGCTCTGCCACCCTCTGCTGTGCCATCTGAAAAAATGGAAACATTCAAATACCTGTGAGAGTCAAGTGAGGCGATTAGGTGAAAAGGTTTGCAAACTGGAAATGCTGATTCCTATTATCATTGCTGGAAAATTTGGTGGTGTAGTGGTTAAGAGCTATGGCTGTTACCCAAAAGGTCGGCAGTTCAAATCCACCAGGCACTCCTTGGAAACCCTATGGGGCCGTTCTACTGTGTCCTGTAGGGTGGCTATGAGTCGGAATCAACTCGACAGCAATGGGTTTGATTTTTTTGTTGCTATTATTGTTATTCTCATCCTCAATGTCCCTGAGAAACGTTCCCTTCAAAGCCCAGGAGACTGTGGAGCTGGGGGAGCCTGGGAGCAGCTGGGGCTCCATTCACCACCACCCCACCCCCCACCCCATCTGCCTCAGCAGGCGCAGCCACACCTCCTTTGTATCCCTGTATGTGTACGGGTGTGCTTGTGTTTTGTGTGTGTGTCTGTGAAGGTCGGTGCTGGGAGGCAGGGTGGGCAGCGGGAGTGCCAGTATTTGTGGCCAGAAATGACCTGTGGATTGCAAATCCCTGAGGAAGAATGCAGGTGGAACTGGATTTCAAAGATGCTGGTGCTGAGACTAGTGTCTCCCATAGCTGACACCTACATGTCACCAGGGAGATGGGAAGAGAGAGGCTGGGAGGGGATGGGGCCCAGTCTTTGGGGTCAGGGCCTGGGGATAGAGGTCTCAGCAGCACCCCCTCCTGGAAAGGTAGAGGAAGATGTTGCCAGAAGCCTGCTTGGGTTGAGCCCAGAGGGATTAGAACTGACAGACCTGGGTGCAGATTCTGACGATGGGACCACGGGCCAGTGATTTCGCTGCTCTCAGCCTCAGTTTCCTCATCTGTAAAATGAGCATAAAGATAGGACCTCCTTTCTGGAGGCTACTTGAAGGTTAACAAAGAGGATGCACGCAAAACCCTTAGCGTGGAGCAGGCTGGAAGCTATTGTTGCTGATGTTGTTATTGTCATCAGACAGCCCGGAAGAAGGAGAGGAGGGGAGGGCTTCGGGGAAGATTCTCGTGCTTTGTAAACTGTAAAAGATAGCTCGGGGGTGAGAGCTGCTAAGCCAGGGTTTGATGCAGCTGCCACTGGGAACACCTGTTTGGCCCCAGGACGGAGGGAGTGAGGCAGAGCTGGGCTTTCAGAATTCCTCCTGCTTCCCTTTCCTGGTTTCCCCTCACTTCCTCCAGGGCTTTCTTCAGGTGAACCTGCCTGGTGAGAAGATCTTTGGGACTTTCCGACTCCGAGGAGCAGCTGGGAG